AAATAGCGCCCCCCACTCCGCGCCTGGTTGACAGGTTAATTTTAAGTTCTCTGTTGAAGTTCATTGCACTGTCCCCCCCATCCATCTACTGGCACTGCTGGGCAGGACGAAGCAGAAAGAGCAGCAGAGAAGGATGAGACAGGCTGAACATGGCTTAGCCGTTGATGGAAATGCTAGTCTCTCCTTGAGTAGGAGACAGTTTAAAGCAACTTTAAGGAAGGACACACACCTGAGGAGCACATCTTTGCCATCCATTTATCAAGAAGGATTCTTAACATAGGCAGTCAGTTGCCTGCCAGAGAATTAACCATTAGCAGGTAGTTAAACCAGAGAATTAACTACCTGCTGATGAACGATTACCTGTCAGAGCTCTTATACTCCAGACTCAGTATTTGTTAAACTAACATGGCCTATACAGATGAGACCGCAGTGCGAGAGTGCCCCCTTTTGATATAATGAGACTCTGAGAGCTGTAAGGGAATCATACACAGAAGAAAGGCTTCACAGCATTGGAAGGTGACTTTTACAGTGGGAAAAGTGGCATGTAACAGGGGAGGCTGAAGAAGCCAGGAGGATGAGTTACAAAGCACTGATACGGGAAGAACAGCACAAGGAGAATCAAGAGACACGTGCAACCATAGGGCAGAAGGGTGAGCAGGCAGAATCTCTTTCTGCATTACTCTGGCCAGCAAAACGGCCAAAGTATAATATCAGCAGGCTCTAGGGTAATGCATTGCTCAGGCATAGCAAAGAATCTGAGAAGAGATGAAAGATCTCTGTTGCATAGCATAAGAACACAAGAAATACCACCGGGTCTGATGAAGCTAGGCACTCTGTCTGATGGGACAACTGGCAGTTCTGCCTGTGGAAGCATATAGGTCTAGCTGCTCTCTACAGCCTGATCCCCTGTCCTCCCCATCTTCCCCATCCTCTAGATGAAGGTGTCAGGGAGTGGAGAGGGCTTGCTGCTCCCTGTGGAAAGGGAGCAAGGAGCTGTGAGGACAGTGAAGTGTAGGACAGTGAGGATTCCATCACCAAGATATCCCATCACTGAGGTGGCTAATGGGAGTTAAATACAACACCAAATTTCTCTACAGTCCTCAGGAAAGAGGACAAAAATCAAACATTCAGAATGAATGAGTAATGTGTCTGTGTGCAGTCTGCACTTCACTCTCTGGATCACAAGAATCATCTTATTTGGATACAGTGTTGTGGTTTAACCTCAGCCGGCAACTGAGCACCACACAGCCGCTCGCTCACTCTCCCCCCCCACACACCCCCAGTGAGATGGGGGAGAGAATTGGAACAGTAAAAGTGAGAAAACTCATGGGTTGGGATAAGAACAGTTTAATAATGGAAATAAAATAACAACAATAACAACAACAACAAT